CCTCCCACGACTATACCATTAAGATAATTGCTAAATTAATTTTTATTATTCCCAAATCATTACTGCATCTATTAAGCATGGAAAATAAATCTGAAGTCCTTCAAGTTTGGTTGTGAAACAGTTTCTCAACTTGAGTACCACGAAAAGTTTCTGGAAGCACTACTCAAAATATGCTAATAATGTCCCCACCTCAGGGACGTCGTATTTCAAATTACAGTATTACTATGAATATTATGTTTTGCTTCAAGGTTTGGATTTGTTAAATAAACCACTTCTACCCCACCCCACCCCACCCCACCCCCACCTCCCTCCCCCGCGCTCCTTTTAGAGGAATATTCCCTACGGATGGTACCGCTTAGCAAAACTTGGCTGACTTTTCGCCTGGGAATTAAATCGAAAGGATACCCCGGAAGAAGGCAATGGCAAACCATTCCCATACTATGTCCAATAATACAAACGTGCACGGGCTTCTGTATCTTTATCCCGATCTATTACTGGCGTTCTTCAGTCAAATAATACTGAAAGACCCAGCAATACTTTCCTCAAATGCAACAAAGGAACCCAAACGCAATCTTATGGGAACTCATACCACTTGCACCTTAACTTCTGTAAAAAGAAGGGGCGGGCTGGGTTTAAATTCGCTACGCAATCTGATATCCCTTTCATATAAACGGAGATTTGAGAGGGCTGGCTGCTACGGTTGCTCAACACCGACCGGGCGAGAGAGGAGAGAAACGAAACTCTGCCCATGTTCAGAATAATCTTGCCCATGCCTCACCAGAACCTGGAAGAAAACTTATTCTCCCATGCAAGAGAAGAAGGAATACTGTGGCAGCCCTTCCAGCCCGCGTTCGATGCCCTGAAGTCTCATTCGAGCACTTCCCCTATTTCGAAACGCTGCTACGGCTTTCCTCTTGGGCTTCACGCACGTCTCACTTTTCGGATTCCTTATTGGCTGAAAGACATGACGCTAGGAATTCATCCAATCCCTGCTACTCAAATTGGGCTTGACTTCTCCAGGCGTGAAGCCAAGCAAAGAAAAGACATGAAGAGCTGCCGGGGATACCGAGGTTGAGATATGCTTTCTGATATCAAAATTGCTTTAAGGAGGATTATATTTACAAGAGATAGAAACTGAGTTTCTTATTGAGTCAATAGAAGCACTGCTTGGTTACTGGTGGAAGTAATTCCTCTTCCCAATTAGATTGGCCAGTTCTAGAAATAATTATGAGAGAAGACTAGGGGTCAGAGTACTTGTCGAGCAGCCTTTTAGAAGTTTGGGATTAACATTTTCAGAATTCCTAACCTGCACGGTCAACACATCTCCAAGGAGCTTGTTGGAAAAGGCTTTCCTTGAGGTGCAACCGAATAATTTCAGATCGGTTCTGAAGCAGAGTCCAGTACAAAATCTGTCTTGTCCTTTGGTGTATACAATAAAGTCTATTCAGGGGAAAAGACACTTCGTTTGGCAATTGAGTTGAAACTAAAAAACAAGCAAAACCAGTTGTTTTCTCATAGATTGAAAATATGTTGTTAGATTTTAACTCTGATTGGAATGACCCTGACTTAAATACCTGCTAAGTCATTAAACTCATAGTGACTTTTGACCAGCCAAATCTTAGGGAACTACTGAGATGGTAACATTTGAGAGGATAACCATGTATAATTCCCTAAGCTCTATGAAGAGAGTTAGAAAAACACAATTAATTCACTGGCATATTCAGTTTAAAAATAGATAAGAGATCTGGAAAACTTCTGAAAGCCTTGGAGAATTTCAGCCAGTCAGATGATACACAGCACTGAGTTAAAAAGGGGCCAAAGGTGTTGTGTAATGTAATGTAAGTCACGATCATATATTCATAACTGATATTTTGTTTGCACTTGCCAAATTACTCATAAAACAAAACTGATTTCAGAAAGGACATGTTTAAGATTATTAAAAATAATTTTTTTCACTACAAAATGAGTAGTCAATCACGAGGGTGCAGTTCTGTGCCCATCTACAGGTAATTTGTCCTTTGAGTCAAGCTTGACTCGTGATGATAACAGGGATACATCCATACAGTTTTCTTGGCAATGTTATGGAAGTAGTTTGCCTCTCCTTCTTCCAGGATAATTTTTGGACTTCCTAGGTTTCCCATCTAAGGAATAATAAGCTCAACCTTACTCAGATTCTGAATGAAGATCAGCTTGTCCATGTGCTGCCACCTGTTGAGGTGAAATGCTCATACATCTGGGAATAAACCCCATTTATAATTGCGGACCATCCTTCTGAGTAAATATATTTAAGATTGCACTATTAGAATGAATCAGATTTATAAGCAATATAAAGACATTGATGTATTCATTTTTAAAAACCTTGACTGATTGATCCAGGAAAAATAATTATATGCAATTCCCTGTATAAATTTCCTCAAACTCACATCTTCTAGATGCATTGGTTACAACTCCCTGGTGCAATCTTTTGCTGATAAACACATGTACTGGGAATTACATAAATTGTAATCCATCACTTTTGGAAGACAATAGCATAATTTGTGCATTTTATGTACAGGAGATATCCTCTGTTAGTAAGGACAATGTAGACTGCCCTCTTTTCGATTCATATTCGTATATATTAGGAACAAAAACGTATGTTTATGCGCAACTGTGGTGTCTACGGCTTAGCTGTGATTGAGTATACAAGGAACTTTATCCATAGTTGGCCTATTCCCTAATCCCAAATAGCTGAGAATGTTTTATCAAACCCAGATTATTTTTGTGGAGTTGGAAATGAACTACATGTGCCCAGAAACATCAGAATCACTTTTACTTTTCTACAAGAATATGAGGAATGAGCCCAGGCATAAAAGCAATTTCTGAGTTGAAACTACTGTATGCCTTTTCCACAGTTTAAATTAATTGGGCACAGTTGTCAAGACAAATTTTCATTAGAGCCCATTTACTTGGAAAGTGGTTGTTATCAGTGATGCTCAGTGTAAAATTTATACCTGCCATCTATTCAGATATAAGTCCCACTGACTCAGTGAACTTCCTTCTAGGAAAATTATAAGACTGTAGCCTAAATCCCAAAATAACAGAGGGGAAAAAAATATTTATTAGAACCAAGCAGATGAACACAAAGGTTCAAATGTGGCTTCAGTTCTGCTGAGTATTTTGGCTTTTAGATTTTTTCCCCTGTTGATCAGTAATAACATAACAATCCTGATGGATCAGACCAAAACCCATCTTAATCCAACATTTTGTTTCTCGCAGTGGCCAACCCGATGGCTCTGCAGTGCTCTGACGCACTGGATAAAAAACGACCAATTTCAGGAGAAAAATGGCAGGAAAGGTATGATGGGGTATATCACCTGCAGTTCAAATAATTTGACCAAATCTAACGAAATACAGTAATTACAGTAAAACAGTCAAGTAAATACAACAGAGAGCTAACAAGCCAAAAAACAATATAGACAGATAAATTTTAATCTGTCCCTGAAAAGACTGTTCCATATCTAAAGAGTTCCAAACTTAGAACATCTCTATATGGAAGAAAGTTTGCCCCTAGAGGCCCAATCTGCCCCCTTCTGCTGAGTTTTAGGAAAGCAGTTAAGTTGGTTCTGTTCTGCCCAGCATTTAGGAAATGGTGTTTGTGTGGTTTTATGTTGAGTTTCTGAGTGTTGATTTTAATGTTACATTGATTATTTGCCTGGTTTAATTAGTAGGTTTAATTAACTAAAATTAGTTAATTTTAAGGGACAATTTTTAATGTGTTTTCTTTGCTATAAACTGCTCAAAGTTTTGGGTTACAATTTTTTTTATAATAAACAATAAACTAAGTAAGACTCCCGTCTTTCCTGTCATTTAGAGTAACTGCTAGCAAGGTAGCTAGAGGAGAGCCTTAACTGCAGATCTTAAAAGATGGTTAGCTTAGTATTGGGAACCTTTCTTCCACAAAGGCTCATGGGTATTTTAGTCCCACGCCCTCTATTGCTTAAATAAGGGGTTTCTTAATTATACCGTTGCCTACAAATCCCACGGCGCACTGCAGTTGAGCGTCCAATCGCGATTTGGCTTTGGGCACTGCGCAAGCGCGGCAGCCGACGAGGCTTCCCTTTACCAAGATGGCGGACGACAGTGAGACAGCGGTGAAGGGGACGGCAGGCGAGGAGAATGACCACCAACATTGCAGCGATTGTGAGAACGAGGACGAGCACAGTTACAACCAAAGGCAAGCGGGTGCTGGCTCTCACGGACCAAAATGTCCCCCGAGGGGAGCCGCCGTAGTTCTATTGGAGAAGGGAGGGAGGAAAGGGAGAACGTGGACGAGGCCTTGCCCACTTTCCTTTGCGTAGCACTTGATTGGGTGGGGGGCTAGATGTTGTGTGCTGAATGGTTGGTTGCTTTGCCTGTTCTCAAAGAAGCGCCAATGGTTACCTAGCACAGTTGCCGACAGCAGCATGACTGGAAAAACTCAGCAGTTGTCGGGCCTGACGCGTGTCCCAGGACCGTAAGGGGAGCTTAGTTTAGGACTGAGATATTTGGTGAATTGGGCTAAAAGAGCGTATTGGGTATGGCCAGGGAAGGCTCGTGGTGCTTTCTTTCTTTATGGAGGCAAAAAGTTCCATCTTGTCAGCTCAGACTTTACCCATTTAGTTCAGTTTTATCTGCTTTGGCAGTGACTCTTCAGAGTCTCATACAGACATGTTTCCCTGTTCATCTCTTACTACATGCTTTTAGCCGGTCATGCCAAGAGCTACCAAGAGGATTGTGACCAGAGCTGCCTGGATTATAAGTTTCCTTGTCCTGGCTCAGCTTCAGAGCAGTCAAGTGCAAAATGAAAAGAAAACCCAAACTATACTTCCAAAGTATTGGAAAATTAAGCTTCTATTTTAATAAGGACAAAAACACACTGCATTGGGGGTCTCTGACACTAGGTGAGTGTGTTGATGTGATGACACAGAATATTCACAGGATGGCTGCCGGAGTGTTTATAGAAGAAGAGGAAGTTGTCCATTTCCCTACAATTAAAACCTCAAACAGATCCTAGAAACAATAATTTTCAAGGCATGAACGTTAAGACAGGAATTTCAGTGAGTAGAGACCAAGAGCATAATATATACAGAGTCAAGCTAGTGGAAAGAATGGGACAAAGCAAATGATGGATTGGTTGGGGTACACAAAATGCCAAGCTAAAATGTATTTGGCTAAATATATTTTTTGAATCCAGCTGGAATTATTAATTTATATCACAATAGGTTTCATGAGCCCAGACAATTGTGCTAATTCAGTAACCCATGGTTAAATCAGCCATTTATTAGCATGTTGTGCAAGCCTAGCCACTGAACATAAGTGATCTTATAGTGTTAAAGGGTACTGTATGCCCATAAACTTTATGAATTGCATAGGATGTAGAAGGCTGAGATAGTTGGCAACCCTGCATAGAACTGTTTGCTTTGCAATGTAACATTCTTCTCATCTAATACATAAACAAGGTCAAACTGCCTTGCAAGTAGCAATCTTCATGACATAAAGATCCACATTCTTTACAGTACTATGTAACATCCTCCCTGTATCTAAAGGAAGCTTTGAAATGTATTTCAGATGTCCTCTGGTTGTACTGGTTTATTGAAGGATAGAGATAATAAATTTATTCAGGCTTTCCTATGTTTAGCAAAGAAGAGTCACACTGTTACACAGTAACAAGAAGGGGTAATGTGCAGGGTATCTGTGTCTTTGATAAGTTAATGTCTAAGTGTTGTGATCTCTCCCAGACAAGCAGGCACCCCCACTTCCAAAGATGTCACCCTCTACTTTCTTATCTTGTTGATTGTATACCAATTACTCAATCAGCCTGTGCTTCTTGCCAAACTGGCTTTTTATTCTAGAGTTCTGTTACTATAACATATGTAAATAAATAGATTTTACCATTATGTTTTACTGCTTTGCATCATAATATTTTATTATCTGGAAGGAGCTCCTACATCTTTAACAATTTTATGACTATCCAGAAATCAGCTATGGCACTTCCTGCCCCTACCTACTCTTGCACGGAAGTGCAGTTATGACAGGAGCTGCATTGTTGAATATTTGCCTATCATATTGCTGTTAGAGTGGGGAGAGGAAGAGACAAATATATTAACTCCCGGTCCATTCTCAAAAGATACTTATGAATATGTGGTCTGTTGAAATTAATCTACTACTTCTGAGATTCAGTCATCTTAGAAAATGATATTGTTTCTCTCATCACAAAGAAAATAGTGGTAATATATCCTCTGTGGTGGTATGCTTGACACCTTTGTTTGGACAAAAGTACAGAATTCTTTTCAGCTGGCAAGTCAGTTTTATTACTGCTAGACTCTGAATTAATAATTAAGTCTTGGTGATGTGTGTAATATATACTTTCCCTTGCAGAATGTGGCCTGGATATTTTTTTGTAATCTGGGACATGTAGAAGCAACACACCCACTCTTTGTTTATGGCACATTAAGAACCAGGCTAAAAGGAATAGAGTTTATAGGTGGCTTATTTTATCATATAGATTGGCTAAAACTGATTTTAAAAATCTGATTCCATCATGGAACTCAAGGCAGTGTTTAACATTACGCTGACCCAGATGTGCTTAGCTTCAGTACAGCAATGGCATAATGTGATTTTGGGGGATTCAAAGGAACCAAATCAGCACAAGTACTGTGATTCTACTCTTCCTCTCTGGCTATATAATCTTGTATTACATATATTCATTAAAAAAACCTTGTTATTCCAGTTCTACCTGAAAAGTTACATAAAGCAACTCAGAAATCAGTAAAATATAGGCAATAATAAAACAAACAGCAATTAAAAATGGATTATTTTCCATGTGAAATGGAAGAGGAAAACAGGATATCATATTCATGATGTTTTATCTCAGATTTCCTGATGAATCTTGTACATCCTTATAGTTGTTAATTACCATTTGGGCAAGATGAAACTTTGTGACATTTCAAAAAGCAGTTAGTTACGGTGGAGCAAAATCCTTCAGCATCAGTTTTCTGGAATCTGCTTCCTAGATGCAGGCAGAACCACTACGTCTCTTAACTTAGATTAGACTCCATCCAGAACAATACAAGTGCTTGATGGTGTTAAAAGTTATTGAGAGTTCAAGACAAATCAGCAATAAATGTGTGTGCCTAGTAACCATAATCTCCTAATTGGCCTTGAAAGAATGTATACAAAGACAGTGAGCAAAAGCTTCCTCTTGTTAGTTTTTTGCATTGGAGTAGGAGGAGCAAAAGTGAAACAGAAAACAGCAATCTCTGTAAGGGTGAATAGTTCAGTGTGTTAGTCCATGTGTTTATATTCTTAGACTTAACCACTGAAGTCACTTACAGGAGGTTGTGGTCAAAAGAAGTATAAATAAAATTTGTAAAGCATACTTTAGCACAAGTTACTTCATATTATTTAGAAACTATCTGAACTACTATTTGGAAAACTAATTAGTGAACTTCTAATTAGGTATATGGATAATTTATATGCACTATAATTGATATAAATTATAGTTGCTTTGAGATAAATAAGTTCACCCTGCCAGAAGTTGACTAAATGGCTTCTCAGTCAGACTAGCTATATAGAGGATTTCATTACTGTATACAATGCAGTGTATTAATCAGTTTTTATGACGGTTTGAGAGTGGGGAATCTCCATTCAGATTTTGCTTTTTGCATTCAGCAAGAATTCTCAGGAGCATCAGAAAAACAAGTATGAGTATTATATTCACAGCTTTTATGTATGGCTTTAACATAGGGGCAGATACAGTTTAGCATTTTTTGAAATATGTGTGTATTCCTCAGCCATTTAGGAAAACAATTTGCCTCCTCTAGTTATATTTTGCTAATTGATTTAGTCTTACACCAAAGACTGTGTAAAAGTTAAGTTTGGAAAGATAATAAGCAACCATCAGCTAGTTTTCAAGACAAGAACTTCTACACATAGCCAGGTTAAGATTAATCAAGGGCACAGTGTGATCTAAACAAAGAGTAGAACTGATTAAAGTAGTATTAAGGGAAACATCAAATAGCTCTGACCACCCTTTTTTCAGAGATAACGTTCTTTCAGCAGAAAAATGTTTACTTTCATAATGCCCATTATTTAGATTATGAAACTAAGGTCAGTGGACATTTTTTATTACACTGATCATTATCAGATGCTCTTGGAATCTTTTCTAGAAGAAAATTCAATTAAGAATTTCCTTCAAATGAATCATTAAGTTGGACCTCAGAGAAGCTCATTCCTTATGTACAAGTACCCAAGTATTACAAGTGGTGTAGTAGTCAAGATGCTGGCCTGGAATAGTCAGCCTTCAGCACAGAGACTCACCAGGTGACTTAATGGAACCTACAGAGGCCAGATGTGTCTCTTAATGCAACCTACTTTACGGGTTGTTGTGGAAAAACAAAATTGGATGATGGATGTGTGGAAGAAGCTTTTTTAAAAAGTCATTAATATAAACCTCCAATAATGCTGGGACAAAGAACTTGATGTACGTCTCAGTGAGATAACAATCTAGACTGGGAACTTTTTCTGTATTCATAGGTTTAATATCTATTATTTATTGAAGAGAGAAATATTAAGTAGGCAGGTGATTGTGAATAAACTTAAAAAGAGCTATATTAAAAATGTTTTCTCAATTACATTTGCTTCAGTATTATACAATCAAGATTAAAAATGAAAAAAATGTTGATTTATTGAGTCAGAATATTGTATAATTAATCCAGGTGCCCTTAATAGTAGAGATAATAAGAGATTATTGCAATTTTTTCAACCAATAGGCTAATAATTTATTAGGTCTTCTCATCTCTCTTCCATGTTTTATATGATTCAATTAATATTCTTACTAATTGAGGAAATTAAGTTTTGAAATCTTTTAATGTTACTGGAGTAGGTCTTGGGTATATGCTTGAAAGCCCATTAACCTTTTTCCCCCTGAATTTTCATTTAACTTTCTGATTTTCTTTTTTCCATGAAACATAAGCAGAAGTATGACTGCATGCATATTCCTTAAATGTGTCCCAAACAACTAATACGTTTATAAAATGTCGATAAGAAAGAAAACTCTTCTTGCATCTGTTTTATAAAAAATGGATCCTTCAATAAAGTTATGTATTTTTCCTTTTATTATACTGTTATAAATTGTGATACAATATATTGTTTTAATACAATGATATTTGTTCACTATTAATTAAAATTATTAAC